AGAAGATTTTCATTGCTGGAAGCTACCACTACACATAGTGAACTATATAGCTTCAGAAAACTCCACCAGTCCAATTGAATCAAATATACAAAACAGGGCGTCATTATACATAGTCGTAGAATTTCTTTTGTTGGCCTATCATCACTATCTGCTGGGACGAAGATCAACTGCTATATATGTACAGAGTCAATCTGCATTGCCTGCAATTAATGTGCAAGAGAGGTCCAAAAGTCCTTTCTGATAACCCTAAGTGATTGTTCTTTCTAAATGTTACAGGGGGAGATGATAATGTATTACTTAATTATTTTATTTTGTAGTATATATGATCATGGAATATGGGTTGGAACTTGGAAATCCAGCAGGAATGAAATAGGTGCTAAAGTTGATATAGAGAAATTTAGGTGCATTTGATAACTGCTGAAATAGGTGCTAATTAAAGCTGAATTTGAAAAAGATCCCAAACTTGAAAACATATTAAATCCATCTTTTTTATTGGTAATTTGATACATATGGTAAAATATTTAGGCTGTGTTTGGTTGCAATGCAGATTTATTTGCACTGATGCTAAAACTAGGGTAGAGTAAATGATTTGTGTGCAAAATTTGATTTATTTTTGTTTCAAATTTTGCCTTACTTTGTTTGGTTTGAAATACAAATGAAGTAAAATATAACCCAAAGCAGAATAAAGTAAAATCTAAAACAAAATTAAACCAAAATTTACATTTTTTTTTCATTTGCACTCCATACAGTTATACTAGTACAAATAAAATTGAATTGCAACCAAACACAGCATTAGGGGTAAAATACTCATCCCACTGCCCATATATCATCATTCAGCAAACAAATAAGTAGGTGGCAAGTTACTGAAATGCTGAATAGGGCATTTTTAAATTTAGAAAATTTTCCACATTATGCATTCAGCACCCATTTCTTTTTCTTTCTTTTTTTTGGGGTGAAGTTTAGCACCTATTTTAGCAATTATAAAAACACCAACTCAGACATAAGAAGCAAGTAAGATGGGTAAGATGAAAGCTCTTTATCCAAGGTGAAACATAGGGGAGAGAAGAAAGATCACCAAAGAAGTAATCCATTCCTAGCTTCTATTTATCTTGAGTCAGAAAAGAATGGGAAAGAAGAATAAAAGTAAAATAACTAAGTTTCATGAAAAGATAAAAAGACTGGAAGAACAACTAATAATTGTTGCAATTTTCATATGGTTGTATAACTGCTAAAGGGTGGCAGAGGATTGTCTCATGCTAGGTTGCTTGGGCTCAAGGAAACACCTTTCCAAACCTGACTTAGGCTGCATTTGGCATTCCTTATTTTACAAGGACTTATTTCCTTTTTGCAGTTAAAATGCCCCTACGAATACTGAGTTTTTAACTGCAAAAAGGAGATAAATACTTAAAATAAGGAATGCCAAATGGAGCCTTACTTGTTAATAAACACACAAGTGCAAGACATTCCCTTTCTCGGTTGCACTCCTGACTTTCCACTTGGTGATGTAGCACTGTATCCAGCTTTGCTAAAAGATCATCGGTATTATCTCAAGGAATAAATGAGTCTATTTCTTAAAGTGTGCATTGTGGCTGTAAAATTTCAGGCCAAAGTATCAAACTAACAGTCTTTAGGGAGAGGATGCATGGCGACTCTGTGGCACTCCGTCCTTGTTAATTAAACCCAAACCCAGTAATTGACAAAGCGACCCACACCTTCCTGGGGCTAGTCACAGCTGCAGAACAATAGACCAACCAGCCAACCATAACCACTTAATTTTAGGGTTTAAGGTTTGAAGTTTAGGGTTTAGAAGTGACAATACTTCAATTGTTCAATCCAAGTATTGACCCCTTTATTTGGAAGTTTGCATCATATCAGTGTATACGTTAAACTTTTGCCTGGAGTGATCTCTCTTAGTCTTATTCAGAAAAAAAAAGGCCTTAAAACTCATCTAGCTAACAATTTTGTATAAAAGAAAAACTCTTGATTCCCAAGAGATGATAGATTCAAGATCCCTTCTGAAATAACTAAATACCTGTAAAGGTGAGTATGTGTAAGTTCTCAACAACCATACCATCACCTGTTCTCTGTAGCGGCATCCAATTCTCAGTATGACAACGACTAAGTTTTGCTTACACCGCAGGAAATGTGAATAGTGAATTCCATTGGGCCATCCTCAAAGCTAGAAAATAAGGCTCAGTTTGGAAGGAGTACGTAGAGTGCAAAACCTTATATTTTATGTATTTGTACTGTAAATATTTGTATCTGTATTCCTTCCAAACTGAGCCTTGTGCCATAAATCCAGAAAACATGAAAAAAGTTGAAAACACAGAACAACAAGATTTAACATGATTTCACAGATTCTCAACTCGAAAAGACAACCCGGATCACAAGCATGCTTGTCACTGAATAATCAGGTTTTTATATACATTCCTAAGCCCTATATAATTCAAATACCGAGACAATGTATAATCAAATTTCACCTTGCTAAGGATTTGATGGAATCTATAATTGATCTATTATCTTAGTAAGAAGTAGAAGTTGCACAAACATGCATATATACATTAGAACTATTAAATGGGTTATAAATTAAGGAGGAAAAAAGAGAAAAGGTAAAATAAATTGAGGGAAGCCTTTAATTTAAAAGAGTATGCAAGTCTTGGCACCTTACATCTATGAAAATGTTTATGTATGAGTTTGTGATTGCTCGTACATTAATTAATTATGTATATACAAGCAGAGGAGCACAAAAAGAGAGAGCATTTGATCATTGTCTGCATTTTTGAATTATCTATTGCTCATGACCAAATAAAACATTATCCACCGTAAATTTAATAAATATTAGATGAAACTGTTGATACCTTGAGTGTTGATTCAACTAAAATACTTATATTCACCATTTCCATTTAATGGGGGTATAATAAGCATGGAGGACCTTTATTTTCTGACCACCAGCATGGAGATCAAACCCACTTTATTCTCTTCGTGTCTCTCAGTCTTCTTTCCTTTCCAATATAATAAGAAAAAACATGTTTTAATTTTCTTTCATAGGATAGAATACATTATTATTAATTGAATCATAAGCTCCCCAAAATTGCATAGAAGGGTTTTAGCTATCAAAATATCGGATTCGACTTGGCTGACATTTCCCATACAGAAAATTCTAGGAAGAACGACTAGATGGATCATTTGGTGACCATATTTCTGTAATCAATCTCAGTTTGCTTACTGAAGCTAGAGATATGGCAAAAAAAGAATTCCTACAATTGTTATTGGCATGGTTAAAAAGTACTGTGGTCTATGGAGGAAAACTTAACAGTTCCTCAAGATGGTTTCAATTCTAGAACTTCCTGTGACTCAGTAGTTCAGGCTACCTCAAGATATTTTTGTGTAGGTTTGTGGGTCCTGTAAAATGGTCTGGGCGATTATGAAAGGGGTTCTGGAATTCAGTATAGTTGTATTAATCATCCATTAGGGAAAACAAAATCATAAAAAATTAGTCTGTATTTCTGTATTGCAGTACTGGCTAGCATCTAACTGACAAATAAGCATATAGACTGAGCTTCTAATCTAGAGAAGATTATCATGAGAAGTCAGATGCTTCAAATAATTGTAGAAAAGAAACAATGAATTAAATAAAGGATGAAATAAATTTCATATCATTCTTCAAAAGAAATCAATAGCTACAAGAAGATCAGAAGCACATAGAAATTAAAAGACACTCTGAGGAGTTCTAAAGTAGTAGAGGATTGGTTATGAAACCGGAGAGGAGGGTCTAGATTTTATTATTAATCAACCATCCCGCCGATGCATCAGCATGTCATCCGCAAGCCAAAGGGTGCAATAATTAATGTAATGTTTACAGCAATCTATCCTTTTCTCTGCTAAATTCCATTGGAAAGTGAACCTCTCTTCACTAAAATTTATTCTCAATAGCAATGCTATGATTCTCTCAGAGGTGGAACCAAATTCCAAAACAATGTTTGTGACAATAACAAAGACGAACGGGGTGATGTAAGTGCCACATGCACTACTCTTGTTATCACTTGATATATTTGGAGAAGAGAAAAGGTATAAACCCTAAGAACAACAAAGCACCCAGATCTTTACAACTAAGCTCCAATAGGGGAAAGATTGACTTTGTGTTTTATATTTTTTATTGTTGTACCTGCAAATTAATATGGTGGCATAAAACTAAACAAAAAAACAAGGAGATTGACGAATTTAAAGACGGAATTAACAATGTTTCAGGGTAGAACCATTGTGAACCAAGCCAAGCCACATGAGAGAGAGAGAGAGAGAGGAGAATCAGCAACAAAATGCTTCAGGTTAGAACTTGTATACACACAGGTTCCAAATAGAATTACATCCTCAGCAGGAAGAACCCATTTGGGATAGTCTCTTCTAAGCCAATGTTGTTGAGAAAAGAAAAACCCATGAGGCCATGATTTCAACCTCCTAAGTTGCTCCGGTCAAGGACACAACTCTAAAATTATAAAATCTGCAACCCTAATAGAAGCAAAAGCTATTACGGCTAGCTATGTAATATTATAATATTACCGAGTATACAAATAATTCTTCTACTACTTTAGTTTGCCAACTTAACTAAGCTAATTTGTTGCGAGTTTATTGATTTGCTTCCATCTCAAAAGTTTTACTGAAAAATGCCAAACAAGCAAAGAAAAATATGTAAAAAGAAGAGAGGAAGAGATCGAGTTAAGTAGTTCTTTAATTTTTTTCTTAGAAAAATTTATTGCTTATAGTCTTTACTTTCTTTCATATCTTTTGTAGTAAACAAAAAAGGCAAGTACAGGAAACTGAAACATAAGATCCTATATATGCAAGAAAAAAATTTGGAATATTTATGTATATATTAATAATTCTAAAAACAGAAGTTAGTTTATGGTTTCAACTTTCAATGGTAACTGCCACTGGTTAGTAAGTAGTATTAGTACTATACTATTAATAGTTTTGTCTTGAGTAATGGTAATAGTGCAAGTTGCTAAGTCCAAATCCTCAAACCCGTTACTTATGAAGAAGAGAGTTCCATGAAGAAGAAGAACAACAACAAGGAGGACTTACAGAAGCCAAAGAGAAGACAAAAAACAAAACCAAAACAACAAGAGAAAGGAAAGAAAAAAACAAAAGAAAAAGAAGAGAGAAGAAAAAAGAAAAAAAAAAGAACTAATTATACATGGTGATGGATCCATGAATTCGCTGACCTCTGTGGTCCAAAGACAGACTTAATCTCTTCGATGCAATCGGTCTCGGCCGAGCTGGATTTCACTTCACAGCGTGGAGATTAAAGATTTTTCCGATTGAGAAGCCACCTATTATCTGTTTGTTAGTAAGGAGGGCGGCCACCTGGGTTACCAGCCCAGCCGTCAACGGGTAACTGACAATTTCCCATGTTAAGCGGCAAATTGAAGAATGGAAGACCAGATGATGGGTCGGGAAATGGGTTGTTGACGCCACCAGCACCACCGGCTCCAGCGGAAGCACCACCACCACCGGAAGACTGAGAAACTGGGGGTTGTATCTGAAGCGGTTCCTCTTCATCTAAAGGAAGCCGTTCGTACGCAACATTCGTGAACGAGGCGGCTATCACGATAACCGGTCCGGCTGCGATCAAAGCACCAACGACGCTCCCACCGACGACTTGACCTTGCCCTCCCGCCAAAAATATCGTCAAACTCGTAGCACCGGGTGGCGCCGGAGGTGGCAAGAAGGAACCTGATAGCGATAATATCTCGAAACGCCCGTGCAACGTGACGATCGCACCGGCAGCTGCCGGCTGACGCAAGCTGACGTTAGTCACTGTGCCGCTTCCACTCAAGATGCAGATCCCACGTTGACGCCGGCGAGCATACGTTGCCACACAGTCGAAGACATCACAGCCATTTCCCACCTCCAGTATATGGGCCCGTAGCGTGTTGGCGCTCTCCCTTGTAATAATTACAGGTGGTTTCGGCCTGTTCTTGGATCCAGGTGGTCGGCCTCTAGGTCGGCGAGCAACGATGTCTCCGGGGCCGGCGTTAGCAGCAACAAGCTCAAGTCCTTGGTGATTACTATCGTCACGCTCGCCGGAAAACTGACCCCTATTGTTGTCATCTTCAGATTCCGGTTGCCTCTGGAGGTGCAATTCCGGCTGGTGGAGTCGATGAATATAGCGAGATGCAGTGCCTAAATCCAAACCCGCCATGCCCACATCAAAAGAAAAACAGGAACACAAGAAAAACAAATAAAAAAAACAACTTAAAAAAAGGAAAAAAACTGATTTGATTTGATTTTTTTTGTAGGTATTAATTAAACAAAAGAAAAAGAGAACCCCGGAACTCGAACCCTAGACAGAATAGAAAACAACAACGAGGATCGAGTGCAGAGAAAGGGAAGAGGAGCGGGAAGGATGAAGTAGAGATAAAGAAGCAAACGCAGCCATTCTCGGCCTTCAAAAGCTTAAATATGAAAACATTTTTATATTTTTGAAACAGAAAGAGAGAGAGAGATTGTGATATCATATGAAATGAATATAAATGGGGTTTTAAATATAAACCCTTGGATGGTTGGGTTAGATGTACTTATTATTATATGTGAGATGAGTGAGAGAGAGAGAGAGAGAGAGAGAGAGAGGGCTTGGGTTAAGCTAACCATGGTTAAAGGAAGTTGACCATTCTGAGTTAAAGCTCAAACGTGAGAGGGAGCAAATTTTACAAATTTACAACTGCACAACGAGGGGAATTGGGCAAGTGGGAGAGGTGGTGGTGCGGCGGATGGGCCCCCTCCCTTGTCTACTTCATCTTTCTCATGTCTGAACGGCTCTTCTCGTCTCAGTTTCTATTTGGCTTTCAGTTTCAGCCGCTTTCTTTACTTGATTATTAGCTCTGCTTCTGCTTAATTGCATTTCTTTATGGGGTTTGTTTGTTTGGCTGCAGGTATAACTCTATTAATTCTTCATATGTTTTCTTCTTGATTAGCATTTAAATCATTTTATTTTCACCAAATTGTGTTAAGTCGAACCTTAGAAAATGATCCTTTGGAAGAAAATTATTAATCTATCCATCTGGACCCTGGTGTACATATTGCTCATTCTCTCTCAAATAAACCCATACTCTTCACTCACATCAATCCAGTTCCTTCAGTTCCCTAGAACCTAAATGATTAGTCCCCTTATTCATGAGTTTCAAATCCGTCAAGAATGCAGAATTGAATTAATTGAGAGCTGAATAGTGAACACCCATCAGGGAAAATCAGTCCAAACATTTCATTTTTTGATAAACCAGGATTTCTGGTGCAAAAGTGTTTGCTTGCAAACATATATATATATATATGCCCTAGCTTTTATTATTATAAATAAGTATTTTCTCCCTTTTCATAAAAGAAGTGTCCCATACATCAAAGATGGGAACATGCCTGAATCAGCCTCTTTAATTAAAAATGAATATTCACATAAATATTCATTTTTATTTATTTATGCGTTAGATGAAACAGGAAAACACAGAACCCAAATAATTAATAAGTATTTGTTTTATTTGGGTCAAAAAGTACAATTATTTTTTACTTGTAATTTTGTGAAGCAGCACAGGCTAATAATTAACCAGAATATTTAATCCATGGGCCAGCCAAATTATGGCTCTAAATCACAAGTTTTCCAGACACATGTTCTATTTGTTGTATAATAAAATTCATTAGCCACAAAAAGACGAAAGGTGTTCTGTTCTCTCCATGTAAGCTCTGGACCCCTTTTAGTGACAAAGTTTTTCTTGTCACCTGGAGCATGGAGAGGGATATGACCTGGCAGGTTCAAACCATGCATTCATGTGAGGAGAGGTGGATTAGTCCTTTGGGCTTAAATTTACTCAAAAATACAAGAAATAAACAAGATAATGTCTATTTATAACTGTGTATAATTAAATATAGGATTTTGAAGGGTATTTACACACCTAGGGGTCACTAATTTGATAAGGGTTGAACTGGCTGAACTGAATGACTTATCACTTTGTCTTTTAATTATTAATGGATAAAATAGTTATATTATAAAATATTTAGAGTTATTTAAGCAACCCAAATTACTTAATGAGTTATTCACCAAAGGACAAAGCAATAAGTCAATCAGATCTGCTTCTTCAGGCATGTCAAATGGTTCCCTAGTATATTAAACCCTAAGCATATATATATATATATATATATATATATAAAAGAACAGCAGAGATGATATCACTGCAAGCATTTTTATCTTAAATTAAGAATCAAAATTTTCATTTTTGATGGCAACAGATGTCTCTTACACAACACCATGAAAACAGGATCTTCAATTTCCAACATAAAAACAAATTGTAAGAAAAAAGAAAAGAAAAGAAACTATCTTAATTAGTATAAAAAAAAAGAAAGGGAGAGAGAGAAAGAAACAGAAGGAAACTGTTATTCTTTTTGATATCTTTTTAGGAAGTCAAGTGACAAATAAAGTAAGAACTAGGAAAGCTTTGGAGAGATTGCAACTTCAAAGTCTTCATACACAAAACAAAAGCCCCCAATGTTCCTGCCTTTCCAATGAGATATCTCACCTTTCCCTCGGCCATAGCCTACCTAACCCCAAATTATTATTATTATTATTATTAAATATTATATTATTATAGATAATAATTTATCATTTAAATTAAATTAATTCTCCTCTTCTTCTTCTTCTTCTTATTAAGTTCTTATTGCCTGGTCGGCTGGTCATGTAAGGCAGTAGTAAATAATGGTAATATTGTCAAAGGAACTCCTCCCGAGGCCGTCACCCATTGTTGCCATAACGGTTATCATGAAACCCTGATCACGTAATAGAGGGTGTAACTAAAGCTCGCCAAATTGATATCTTGGGTTTAATCCCTGCCGTACATCACGGTACTTGCTCTGATTTGATTGGTCGACGGGTTACTACTCCAACCTGAGGAATTTGTTTTCTTTCGTTTGGTATCTTGCTGCAGGCCCCATCCCAGGGTGGGGTCCACCGTCCACGAAACCGTAGCCCAGTGAACATGTCGAATATCTGACGCGTGGCAAGGTTAGGGGTGGGATTTAGATGGTCAATCTCTGATGGTAAAAGTAAAGCTACTGATTATTAAAAGGGAAAGAATCAAAAAGAACGTCAAATCAGAAGCTGTAGCCACGTAACTTCAAGTGAAGGGGCTCAGGCCTCAGGGGAGACCGGAAGGGGAAGGGGGTCCCGACTCCCGTGGGTGGGAGCTGGGACTGGGAGGGTCTATTGCCTACAGCCTCCACCCCTTCTCCCTTCTCCCTTGCCCTTTGCTAGTTCGTACGTCGTACTACTACTATACTATGTTTTGATAAGACCATTCCATTTCTTCTTAATTTACGATTTTGTCCCTCTCTCTCTAAGCCACCATGTACGGTCCAAATTGCACATTCACGTCTAACATTATTACATCCTCCACCTGGCTACCTCCGAATCAGTCTCCAGATCCTACCTTCTATTATCGCAGCACGCTAGGTGGTGGCAGGTGTTTATCTAAAAGCCTATGTTATTGCCAAATCAGCATATTCATTCCAACGTTTCCTTCAAAGATTAAATATTTATTCACTGTTTACTTCTACTGATGTGGCAACTAATAGTGTCTAATTGTTAATAAACGGTTTATCAACAAAATTATTCTAAATTTTAAAGATAAATCAAATACAAACATTTATTTAATAATATACATATTCATCATCAAAGAGACAACAGAGAGCTATACAAAACCAAGAGGATATATTTGTCATTTTATATGAAGGTAGAAAAAAAAAAGAAAGACGATCACAATCGCAGATCACGACTTTGATTGAATATCCTATTTAATAATCAAAAAATAAATAAAACAGCGTGATATGCTGCTTCAATTGGTCATGCATATATATATATATTATATAAACACAAGGACGAAGAAGGAGTAAGGACCCCAAGAAGATTTTTAAGACTACAAAGTTTCTTTCTTTCTTATTCTTAGGGAGTCAACTAGAAGGGTAGATGGATTTTAGGGTTTCAATATAATATTTGCAAGTACAGATCCTTAATGTGGTCTATAAGCTGGACGGTTGTGATGAAGGTATCTGCAGATTGACCAATGATGATGATGATTGATGAGCAGAAGAAAGTGGTGATTTCATGAAGAAGAGAGATTGGGAGGAGGGCTGGGTTGAGAAATTAATCATGGGAAATGACGACAATAACCTGTAAGAGATGGCCGTGGCAAAATTCTAGGGGAAGAAGTCAGTTGACAGAGAACAGAGTCTCTGGCATGGCAGAGTTGCAGCCTCATCCATGAGTCTGAAATTCTACTGCTTAGAGTTTAGAGAGAGAGAAAGAGAGAGAGAGAGAGAGAGTCTTTAAAGAGAACCCAACACCGAGAAAGATGGATCGGGACGATCTACCTAATTCTGAGACAGGAGGAAATGCTATTGCTGGTGCCTGGTTGTGACTGTGAGCCAGGAGGGGCCGTTCCGAATCCGAAATCCTCTTTCTTATTTCTGGTTCTGAACTTCTGATCTGACTCCAGATCCATTCAGAGAGGATATTAGGGTTAGCCAGTTGGTCCATCTCTCTTTGTCTAATGGCTTCTGATGTCATGAGAGAGAGAGATGGGAGGAGGGGGGGGGGGATCACGTGTGGTCTCCAAGTCAAAATGGGGTGCACCGTAGAGCTGTCGGCCACGAGGCAGCAGTCGCTTTCATCGGGAATTGGTCAAACCTGCTTGCCCGGAAAACCCGGGCCAATGGGCCAGTTCCATTCGGGCAGCTGGTAAGGTCAGGCGTCCTTTGCTTGGGGCAGAGATAAAGCCTTACCTTGTCCCAGCCCTAGGAAAAGCCCCCGAATTTTAGGGCACCCCTCCCCAACAACTCCCACTGCCCCCACTACGCTACTTCCCACACGCCTCCATCTCTTCTTCTCCCATCAGGCCATCACCACTGCCCCCCATTGGCCCCTTGGCCCCACCTCTCTCTCTCTCTAATCTTCTAGTCTCTGTCACAATTCAACATAAGTCAGAAAACTAAACATAGCCCAACGAGGCCACACGCAGCGCATCATCAGTCATCACAGACCAAACCATAGTGGCAAGAATAGGTAGCAGACCACTTTGCGTTTGCTAGTATATCTGATCCGATTCGTCCTTAGAAAGACCCACCAACTCCACATCCCCCACATATCAACATCACAAGTCCCCATCACCTCTCTCTCTCTCTCTCTCTCTCAAATTTATACCGAAGGGTCCGGACTAGGTGAGAATGGATGTGATTCTGAAGGGTTGGTTGTGGTACAATAGAGACACACTCTAGGTCCAGGTTATTTCTTGTTTTTTGTTACATTCTCTTTAGGTTGTACTGTTGTAGAGGATTAAAAGGGCATTTTCTTTTTGAGAGTTGCATGGAGCATGGTCTTGCTCAGTTGCTCTTCAGTCTTTCAATGTGTTTTTAGTTTTATTCTCACAAAACAAGTTTCCTTCAATTAAACTA